AGAATGAAAAAATTGGATAAAAAATGCAGGACGGCAAAAAAACTTCATATAAAACTATCGCTAATATATCGGATTAGGCTAAACAAATCGGAGTCAAAAAATCAAATAAATTTATAATGTTAGAAATTTTGAAATCCTAAAAAATAAAAATTATGTCAAAGCCATCAATAACTAATTCATCCATAAAAACTTTACTAGACTAATATAATTAAGTCAATTAATTTATTTACCTCGTGACTCTCATCCAATCACCCAATATTAAATACATAATTAATCAATATATACCATATAAATCTACCCATTAAATACTTTAAGAAACATCAAACCTATTTATTACATACTAAAAACAAATATACTATATAAATTTTTTCATTAAACCATAGTGACAAATATACTATATAAATTTATTCATTAAATACTTTAACTATGGTATAGTGACAAATATACTATATAAATTTATTCATTAAATACTTTAACTATGGTATAGTGACAAATATACTATATCAATTTATTCATTAAATACTTAAACATCATACCTAGTTCTCATAACCATTAGGGCTTATAGATAGAGAAGAAGGAAGAAGGAAGAGGTTAGGAGCTTCACAAACCGTAATCGAAGAGGCCCGATTTTTAGAGAGAGAAAAGGAAGATGAGACGCTAATTTGAGATAGTTTGAAGAGAGTTTTTCTCTTTGGGATGTTGTTTAAGAGAAAACCCCAACTATACTGATTTGTGAAGAGGCCCTAACTAATTTTTAGAGAGACAAAAGGAAGAGGGTTCTTCATTTTCTTGGGACAACAAGAAGCAAAGTTGAAGGATTAAGTTTAGGTAACTAATCCTATATGTACAATTGCTAACTCCGGTAATTTACAGTTTACACGATATTGTTTATCTTTGTTATCACATAATAATAAAAAAAAATATTGATTGCTTGCTCATGTAGTCAATTCTCTGCTTCTCATTCACCAGTAAAAGACTATGTTTTGAGCTCTAATTTGTGCCATAAACAGTATTTTCATAAAAATAATAATCACAAATGATCAAAGAAATATGCATGTATATGATTTTCTTACAAAATTATTCGCTATAAACAGTATTCATTCACACAATGATTTTCCAAAATAACAAGTGGAATATGCATCTATTTGTTTACGTTTTTTTAAAAAAGGGGAAAAAAAAATTCATACCTTCAATCTGTAACTGTGGCTTTGAAGAACACAGTGGGTATAAAAGTTTATATTTTAGGTTTTTTTTTGAAATAATATTGTTTTTCAAAAGCAACCTAGCAATAGCTGCAATACACAAAACAGGAAAAAAAAAGAAAGTCTCAAAAAAAAATATAGGTAAAAAAATGATATGATTTTTTGGCTTGATTTAAATCGTATTATGAAAAAATCGTGTTTTAAATGTTTTTATAAAAACTACGTGATTTTTTACCGACTTTTTCCAAAAGTTACCGTTGAAAATTGTTTCCATAAAAATACCGATTTTTTTTTTAAAAAATCACCGATTAAACGACGATTTGTCAACTATGGGTAGAATAGGGTTTGAGGAACCAAGTTCCTATTTTAAATTTCATCAAATGGAACTTTTTTTATTGAGCACAAGGGAATAAGGAAGTTCTTTACTTTGTACAATAATAAGAAGTTCCTTCTTCGTCCCTAACTTCATGTTATCAAACACACCCTTAATATATTTGTCATTGTCGCTACAACTTGAAATGGAACTATCAATAGCGATGTCACTACGAATATAACTGTGAATGCAACCATTAATGTTAATGTGATTTCCAATTACTACAAAGGTTCCCAAAGAATTCATTTGAGGAAGAAATTTTCTTAACACCTCATGCTCTTGAAATTGAACGTGCAGCAGCAGTTGCAAGTAGATGGTCGCTAGTGTTTGAGGTGGGGGTAGAGGTTGATGGGCAGGCCCTTGGAGGGGGTGGGCATGGGGTCCACGCTTATGAGCTCGTGGGGGAAGAGGAGCTCCCACCTGAAATTGGTCACAATGTTGTGAAGGAATACGAGTATCTGAATGCGAGCAAAGTCTTTGCCAGGGCACATCCTAGGTCCTCCGCCAAAGGGGACGAAGGTGTAGGGTGCAGGAGGGCTGTCTCCCTCCACCTCCTCCTCCTCCTCGAATCTCGCCGGGTTGAACTTTTCCGGTTCTGGGAAGTGCTTGTCCATCTTGTGGGTCGAATTCACGCTCCAACCGAGCTGAAATTATTCCTCTTCTACTCATCAGGCCAGGCCCAGGCACACAAAAGGGTTGTGGAAATTCAGAATACAAGTGTGAGTTGTAAAATGGCAAATACCTTCCAGCCCTTGGGGATGGTGTATCCGGCGTAGGTGAGGTCGGTTGAGGGCTTCCTATTGTTCCAAAAAAAAAAGACTAGAAATGAGCACTTATGCAATATGCAGTTTCCTACATTGCACAATATACAGTAAAAAAGCGAAAAAGAAAGATTTTGTTTGTTTGTTCGCTTGTTTTTAGTACCTTAAAGTTCCTTGAATGGGAGGAGAAAGCCTCAGCACTTCATTCACCACGTTCCAAGAATACTTCATCTTCTGAATGTCTTCCCGGTTCAGAAACTCGCCTTGGGCCTTTGATTTTGCGATCTCCCTTTGCTCTGCAAATGCAAAGCCTCTTTCAAAAACACAAGGGGACCAATTCAAGGAGAAAAACAGCGGGGAGAGGCGAGAAGAAAAAAGGGAGCAACCTTGTAGGACTCGATCGTAGCAATGGGGGTTGTGGGCGAGGTGGAAGAGGAGCATGGCCATGGTAGAGCTGCTGGTGTCATGGCCGGCACTCAGCAAGAGGATTACATTGTCAGCAATCTGCTTGTCCGTCAGCGAATTTCCCTCTTCATCCTTCACCTTCATAAGATGTGACATCAGATCATCCTCTTCCTCTGCTCCTGCTATGTAATTGCTCCTCCTGCTTTGGACCACCTTCAGCAACTCTGCCCGTAGCAAGTCGCCGGATCTGGCCGCCCTGTAGTACCTAGTCCCCGGAAAATAGATGGGAAGCTGGAAGGCCCCCTTGGCCACCGTGCTCAACTCCTCCAGTAGCCTTGCTTGATCCTCTTCTGACCCTATGCTTGTGAACAACCCGCACGCTACAGAGAAGGCATACTTCTTTATGAGTGGAAACGCGTGCACCACTCCCCTGCCCTTCCAATCCCTCTCGATGCGCACCTTGCAGAGGAGATCAAACCGAGCAACGAGCCTGTGGAGGGTGTCTGGCCTCAGGAAAGGGACCACCACCATCTTGCGAACTCTCATTGCCTCCTCCCCCAGCTTCGTGAGGAAGGAATCCCCGAAGAGGCGGGCGAGTGATGAGGGCCAGCAGGTTAGGAGGAGCCCCTTGCTCTCATTCGAGAAGAGGAACTTGTTGCCATTGGGGCCACAGAAGGTGGCGGTGATCTCCCCCAAAAGGTGCGTCTTGAAGACATCGGGGTCATGTCTAAGCATCCTCTCTTGTACGAACAACTCGGGTTTCCCTGAGCGGCCAGAACGCAGGATGGCCAACGTCTCTCCGACTATGGGCCATCCCAAGCTTCCCGGAGGCTCACAGCTAGTGCGGTGATTGGACCTCCTCGTCCTCGACTTGAACCACGCCACCGCCACCGCCAGAGTCGCAATGGCCAGGGAGAAGAACATCAACTCCCCCTCCATCCAATTCCCACCTTGCCTCTTTGATTCGCAATGATGGTGGATTGCGTCTTTGATTCACAAGAGTAGTGGATTCAATTGCTGCACCATGGAGAAGAAGCAAATGGTTGAATTGACCAATTGCAAAATACAAGTCGTTGTCTATTCATTTTAGTTTATTCTTTATCATTTATATTATTTAAACCAATAGTTTAAAAAGCGGATCGGTGATTTGGATCGGGGGCACGTTAAAAACCTATTCGGATTGGCGAATGGACGATCCGGATCGAGAATCGGCTGGATAGGTCAGATTAAAGCTTTAAAAAAATCCGAAAAAATTATTAAAATTCATTATAAATATTTTTTTTAAAAAAATTCAATAAGAAATGAGGGTACTCCATTAAGAATTTTCATTTCTTTGCATGAATATGCGAATATTGATATGTTCTTTTTCTGCATGAACTAATATTTACCATTTAATTTACATGACACAAATGGATAAACATAGAATTATCATAGAATAAGTATATCAACATACATGGACTACAATAAAGCATATAATTAGTAACATATGATCTAAAAATAAAATGACAGATGACGTCGTTCTTCTTCTTGATCACGTTGGTGCCATTGATTGAATTCGTTTAACAATTCATTGATTTGATCTAAAAACGAATCATCGATATTAGTGATAATATGTTTGGGTAGTTCATGTAGTTATACTTGTTGTAATTTGTTATTGCAAAATACTTCTATTGACAATAATATTTTCGTACATATCAATTACAAACATACAGGATAATATAATAAAAAATGCAAGCTCCAAACATGGCTACAACTCAATTATCAAGAACATACATTTTTGCATTAAAAATTTAATAATAAAATTGAAAAAATACAAGATAATATAATTGTCATACATGCCACGATTTTTTTACAATGATATTCACTTTAATTCGTTCCGATAATACAATTTAACAACATGTATTTTTTGCGTTCAAAATTTAAAAAATTGAAAATACATTTTTAATGCAAAACTACATTAAAAATATAATACAGTTTTGCATTAGAAATATAATAACATGTAAGTTTTTGCATAAATATTCTATCAGCATGCAATTTTTTCAACAAAAACTTTAACAATAAAAATTAAAAATATGGTTTAATACCTCATGACAATCAAAACCTGGTCACTATTTTCATATCTTTTCGGAAAATCACGATTTTTCAAAAAAAATTGATCATGTATTAAAAAAAAAAACCAATAAAAACAATTCTTCATAGAGCCACCTAACATCAGTCATTCCAACTAAAAAATACATTAACAACAAATTAAAAAAATTCAGTTTTGCATTAAAAATATAATAACATATATTTTTTTTCATAAATAATCTATCAACATACAATTTTTTTCAACAAAAAATTTAACAATAAAAATTAAAAATATGGTTTAATACCTCATGATAATCAAAACCTAGTCAGGATTTTCACATCTTTTAGGAAAATCATCATTTTTCAAAAAATTTGATCATGGATAAAAAAAAAGTACAGCAAACTCAAAGAATAAAAATTAAAAATATGGTTTAATACCTCATAATAATCAAAACCTTGTCATGATTTTCACATCTTTTCGGAAAATCACAAATTGTCAAAAAATTCGATCATGGATTATCAACAAAAAAAAAGAAAAAGAAAAAAATTTTTATTCACAGAGCCACCTTACATCAACCATTTTAACTAAAAAATCTACCTCCAAACGAATAAATTCCATCCAATTGAGTGTATGTTTTGATAAACAACACTATAAGGAATCAAATAAATTATGAACACAATATCATCAATAAATCAAATCAAATCGATTAAATTGAGCAAAAAAAAAAACAACGCAATTCTTCACTGACAACAGTCATTAAATCTAAAAAATGAAGCTCAAATTGAATAAATCAGATCAAATTGAATGCATCTGATTATAAACAAGACTATAACAATTAAAAACCCTAGAAATCTAGTGTGAAGATGACACGTACCAAATTTTATATTCATGCAATTTGTAGAAAAAAATAAAAATAAAATACTTTGAGATGTCGAATCTAGAACAAACGATGAGTGACTCACTTGATGTAAATTGGACGGTTGGATAAGAGGAGAAGTATATATGTTATATGATGCAGGGGCAGTATAGAAAGCTTTCTTAGAAAAAAAAGGTCACAGAGAGTTCATGTTTGCATCACAAGCAAACATAAAGAGAAAAGACTCATTTACGCTCTATCCCCCTTTTTAAAAGTTCTCCCACAAAGATGCGTCTTTTTATTTCCTTCTCGAAGGGCATGTTTGATAATAGGAAGTTAGGGGAGGAAGAAAGAACTTCTCCATTACTGTACAACTCCCATTTGAAATTTTGAATAATATGGGCTTTGGTGCAAAGTAGATAAACTGGATACATGGGTGTATCTTTTTAGCCTATTTTTCAGTTTTGATTATTGGGAGTCCTAAAGGCTACTTTCGAGCTACTAGACGCCTAAGACAGGGTGATCTACTTTCACAGTTCTTGTTTTTCATTTATGCCAAATGTTTTAGCCTAATGCTTAGAAATATTGAAAGTGCTGGTTGTTTTAATGATTCAGAGTAGCAAACAATGGTCCATGTGTTTCACACCTTCAATGTGCAGACGACACACTAATCTTTTGTGGTCTTACTTTGGATCAAGTTAATAATGTTGATACATTTCTTAATTGTTGCGAAGTAGCTATGGGGTTGAAAGTGAATATGGAAAAACTTTGTAAATTGGCGTACATTGCGATTATTAATGGTGAGAGAATTGGTTGAAAGTTTGGGGTGCAAAACAGATGTCTTCCTCATCACCTATTTAGGTTTACCTATATCAGAATCTAGGCTACGTATTTCGCTATGGGATAAGGTGTTGCAAAGGGTTCAAACCAAATTGGACTTATAGAAATCGAAGTACTTGTCTAGGGCTGGGAGGGTGACTCTCTTGAGTGGCCAATATTCCGGTATATTTGATGTCTTTGCTGAAAAAATGCCTAGAAGTGTGACATGAAAGTTATAACAGATTATGTACAATTTTATGTGGGGATCTTTTGAAGGTGGAAATGCATATCATTTACTGAGATGATATAGAGTATGCACTGCTAAGATAAAAGGTAGATTGGGGATTAGACAACTTCAGGTTATGAATGATGCTTTGCTGTGTAAGTGGTAGTAGCGAAGTCTAATTTCTAAGGATCACCTGTGGTATCAAATACTTGGTGCTAAATATGGGGTGGACCAGTATGGTTTTTGGATTGGTGGGGGTAGGGGAAGTTTGAAGAGATCTATTTTCTGGAAAGATATCTTTCTATGCAAAAATTTGATATCTCGAAACATTCGATGGGGAGTTGGTATGGGAACAAAAGTCTCGTTTTGGCAACACATATGGGTTGGAGAATTTCTTTAAAGCTAGCTTGCCCTGAGCTTTTTAAGAAGGTAGTGAATCTGGAGGCAAGGGTGAGTGAGGTCTATTCCATATTGAATAATAAATAGGTGTGGAATTTATGTTTCCCGCACAATAGAATGGAGGATAGAGCTGTCTCATATTATGTGGCATTATTATGGGAGCTTGAAGAATTGTACCTATCACGGGAGATGAAAGATGAGATAATTTGTGATTTAGAAAGCGATGGAGTATTTACAGTTAAATTCATGTGCTCTCTTTTATTTCATGATGGTGGAGATGGATGCTGCCTTAGTTGTCTCAGATATGGAAATGGCCTATTCCACATAAGGTGTATATTTTTATATGGTTGGCAGCACAAGATAAGGTGCGACAGTTGATAAGCTCATTAAGGGAGGCAAGATATTGTCAAATATTTGCCTATTATGCAAGTCAGACAAGGAGTCAAATGCCTATCTTTTTGTTCATTATCCTCTTAATTTGCATATTGGTGTAGTTTTCTAAATCTGTTTGGATTTAGTTCGTCTCTCCCATTAGGTGTTTTGGGTATTGTCTCTCATTTTAGCTTTCCCAGTTTATCTAATGTGGGCATTATTATTTGGAAAGTTGTCAAAGGGGTTGTGTTATGGGAAACACAGAAGGAACGGAAATAGGAGAGTTTTTTAAGGGATTTCTTTGCCCTTTAAGAGGATTCTCAACAACGTTTCCCTTTCTATATGGAGATGGCTAAGCGTAATTAGAGATTTTCAAGGTATCACACATGTGGATGTTATGTGCGACCATCATAATCTTATACATCTAATAACACTTAGCAGTAGATCAGTGGGTAGATGGTCTTCTCTTGTTGAGGGATCTTTTAAGCTAAACTTTGATGGAAGTTCATTTGGTAATCCGGATAATGCTGGTATTGGAGGAGTGATTAGAGATTCGGTTGGAAGAGTTATTCTTGGATTTTTAGGACCTGTAGACCAAGCTATAGCAAACTTTGCAAAAATGGCAGCGTTGCTACATGGTTTGAAAATCTTTATAGAGAAAAATATTGGTAGTTGCTATGTAGCAAAGGGTGATTCCATGAATATAATTAACTGGTGTACACATAAGCATAAGGTGCCGTGGACTATGAGGTTGATGTGGTGCGAGATCTTGGATTTGACAGGAGAGCAAGCAATTTCTTTTCAGCATGCTTTCAAGGATGCAAATTCGTGGGCTGACTCTCTCACTAAGAGGGGAGTTGCTCTTTCTACGCTAATCGTTACAACTGATATTGATATGTTGCAATCTGTTTAGATAATCAATAAATTTCTTAACTTTTGTCAAAAAATATTAAAAATAAAGCCTCATCTCAAATCCTTTTTAGGAAAGTACTTTAGGCAACGAAAATCTCTATAATGGCTTTAAAATCAATTTTCAATACTGAAATTAAAATTTGAAATTAAAAGAATAGTATAGATCTCACGGATCTACAAACACTTATTTTTAAAGCAAAATGGACTGTTCAAATAACTATTTGCTGGTAATCCTAATTTTTTTTTTCATTTTAGATCAATTGAGATGGATCATATTTGGATATTTTGTTGTTAAGATGTTTATTTGATCATGTAGGAAAGTTTTGATCAAAATTATGCAGTTTTTTGATGCATTGAGTGATAAAAATCACACATTAAGAAAACAAGAGAAAGCCTCCTGACTCCTCCCTGCTACTGCTCTCTCTTGCTATGCAACACAAACAAACAAACAAACGAACAACAAAGAGAGAGAAGCGAATACCCAACTTTATCTCAAGTGGAAACCCGTTGCATCCTATACTTCATTCTTTCTCAGGCTCTCTTTTAGCGGTAGAGAAGAAACAGAGGTTCTTCGTGGAAATGGGACGGTTGCCGCTGTAGCAGTAGTTAGTATAGACTCACTACCTCCCTTCTGTATTTACACTCAAAATGCGGGTCTCTCTCTCAACCGCTCCTCCCTAGAAACTGCCTCCACTCTATTAAGCGTCTCTCCTCTAAGTCGTCGCTTTACAACTTTAGCTACACTCCCCGTACACACGCGCCATTTTCTCACTTATCCCTAGGGCTGTTAATGGGCAGAACTTAGCCCTGCTCTTGTCAAAGACAAAAAAAAAATACCAGGCCCATTTCCTGTGTCACCAATTTTTTATGTGAAATAAAATGGGACAGGCAATAGATTGAATGAATTAAATAGTATAGAACATGCAACGGGTAAAAGACACATGCTTTATTGAGGAGTATTTACTTCAAAGGCAAGAAATTGGCTTTTCCTATGTCACCAATGAATGAACCACTTGCCCGCCAACTGGTCCCCTATCAAACACGTATTCAATACTTTTTCCACAATCGCTGGCGTTGACATGCTTTAAATTTAAAGTGAAGCATGTGCAATATATATATATATATATATATATATAATAAACTATAAT